GGGTCCCCCCGACCCTCAAAGCCAGGCCTGGTCAAGCTTCTACCCTCCGGGCCATGGTTTCAGAGTGTGGGGGTGGCTGATGGGGCTGCCAGGCCCTTGGGGTGTGGAGGGGCAGGAGGCCTGGGGGTGCAGACGTGACCACCCTCTGGCCCCCAGGGTTTCGAGTATGTGACGGTGGCCGGGCAGTGCTGTGGGGAGTGCGTGCAGAAGGCCTGCCTCACGCCCGACGGCGGGCTGATCCAGGTGAGCGGGGTCTCAGCCCTCCACCCAGCAGCCCCTCTCTCCAGGCCTTCTGGGCCGTGAGAAAATCCCGACCTGGCTCTCCCCTGTGCGTTTCAGCCCAATGAGACCTGGATCAACAGCCTGGTGGACAACTGCACCGAGTACCACTGCCAGGCCGAGCACGGGGTCCCCGTGCTGATCCTCAGGCCGTCGCCCTGCCCAGACGTGTCCAGCTGCAGGGTGTGTGCCCCCGGGGATCTGGCCAGCCTGGTGGCCTCCTGGCCTTGCCCTGGCGGCCCCGCCCACACCCCTCCCTGGAGGCCCCGCCCACACTGTGCCCTGGAAATCCTGCCCAGGCCGCTTTCTGGAGGCCACGCCCTCCTATAGGCCCTGCCCCTAGATCCTGGCCCCCGCCCCCAGCCCTCCCTCTGTCCCCCTTTGCAGGGCATCCTCAGGAAAACCGGCTGCTGCTACTCCTGCGAGGAAGTGGGTAAGTCGGGGCGCCCCGCCCCTGCCCTCCAACTCCCTCCGACCTCTGCCCATGGGCTCCTGCCCTGACCCCTGGGAGGGAGCGGCCGGTCTGGGTCCTCGGGGACCCCCACCTCTGCCTTTCCTCCGTGCAGACTCCTGCCAGGTCCGCCTCAACAGGACGGTGCTGGAGCACCAGGGCTGCCAGGCCCCCGTCAACCTCACCTTCTGCGAGGGCTACTGCCCGGGAGTGTCCAAGTGAGTGGCCCCGCACCCCCAGCCGCCTCCGCCCACTGAGGGGAACTCCTACCTGGAAGCAGAGAGCCCGCCCCAGCACACATCACCTCCCGGGGCACCCTGTGGCCCTGGCCTGGGCTTGCCGCCCTGAGCTGGGTCAGGAGGGCCCAGGAGGAAAGGGGGCCCACATCCGTCAGCACAAGCCTGGGGCCTCCGATCCGCAGAGCCAGGCCTGGGCACGCTGGGCAGAGACGGGCGCTGCGTCCAGACGTCTGGCGCCGTGTCCACCTGGGGGTGGGCAGACCCAGGGTCCTCCTCGGGCCAGGCTCGGGGCGGAGCTGCGGGTAGAGCCAAGCGGCGGGCTGCGGCCAGCTGTGAGCCCTCGGCCAGAGAGGCAGGAAGCAGGGTCCAGGGCAGGTTCCTGGAGGGGCCTGTGGGGTCAGCAAGTTTGAGGAGCTGGTTCCGAGGGGAAAGGGTGCCTGGCAGGAAGGTAGGGGGTCAAAGTGACCCTGAAAGCCCGCAGAGCGGACCCCGGTGCGGCCAGCGAAGCCCGCGTCCTCAGACAGGCACAGGGCTGCTGGGCGAGGGCACCGTCTCAGGGCCGTGTGCCCGCAGGTACTCCCCGGAGGCCCAGGCCATGCAGCGCCGCTGCGCCTGCTGCCAGGAGATCAGGGCCCACGAGGAGGCGGTGAGCCTGCAGTGCCCCGACGGGACGGCCGTCCGGCACACCTACACCCACATCGACGAGTGCAGGTGCGACCTGGCCTGCGTGCCCTCGCCGGCCGCTCCCGAGCAAGGCCAAAGCTTCATTGTCTGACCCCAGCCTGCCCCCCCTCCCCCCACCTGCCCTGGTGAAGCCCACACCCAGGACAGGGACAGAGCAGCAAGGTCACCTCGAAGCGGCACTAGGCAGGGACGCCCTCCGCCCCCTGCCCCTGCCCTGCCATCGGGGCCACTCTCATCTACAACGAGCACCCACTCGGCCCAGACCCCCCCTTCCTCCTGTCAGAGGGACAGCCTGGGACCCCACCGCCCGCCAAGCCCCATGGAGCACGGACTCCTGCGGCCCCTCCACAGCAGACCCCGCACGGGCAGCGGTCCCCCCAGCCCGCTGCCTCCGGAGCCGCATCGGGGTGCTGCCTGCCCGTGGGGCCGAGGCTCTGATGGCGGGAGGGGGGGGAGGGGTCGGTGTCCTGAAGCCCTGCTCTGCTCACCAGCCCCAACTTTTCAAATAAATGCTGAGCATCAAGTACACGTCCTGGTCCTGGCATCACTCCCCGCCATCCTGTGGGCTGTCTGGGGCCCCACAGGCTGCACCCCCCGCCGGGGCTTGTGCTGGACCCTGGGAGGGACAGGGGCATGGAGACCGGGTCAGTCTCGGGTGGCCTCTGGGGACACTGGCAGGAGCCAGGGGTGGGCCAAGGGCTCAGAAACACCCTCACATCATTCCCAATGCACGGGGTTAATGACGACAGGGGTCACAGAGGGGGACAAGCAGGACCAGCTGACAGGAGGCGGCACACGCAGGAAGCAGCTGCCACAGGCTGGGGCTGCACCGGGGCTGCTGCCACCACTTCCCCTTCAGGCCCGTCACGTGTCCACTTGTTTCTTCCCCTGCTCTTGCCCAGCGCTGTGAGCACACTATATGGGGGGGGGGGGGCGAGGCAACTGCCCATCTGTGCGCCCAGGATGCAGAGGGCGCCCTGGCTGGGGGCCTCTCGCAGGAAGGACACGAGATGATCTCCACGTGGACAGACCAGTTCCGGGCGCCCAGTTCTGGGCGGCCGGCCACCTGGGAGGCAAAGGGAGGGTGGCGGGAGGGTCTCCCTGGGCCCGGCCCCACCACACGACCTGCCAGCGAGGCAGGCGGTCACGGTCAGAGCCAGGAGTGTGCGCACACCGACCTGGTCAGCACCGAGCAGCCGTGCCTCCGGCAGCTCTCACCGAAGCAGAGCTCGGCGTGACGTCTGGGGTCACGTTGAGAGCCAGCCACCTGCCGACCGTCCGCATGGTTCCGGACTAGGTCACTGCAGCGAGTCTGGTAGGCGTTACGTTAAAAAGACTAAGGGACACATGTGTAAACTTCCCTGCAGGACTTTAGTGCTCTACTCTCATATAGATCATTTATTAAATTAGGCTGAAAAGTAAAAATATATTTTACAATCAAAGGAAATCTGGACGTGGACCCAGGAGAATGACAAGCACAGGCTCCGAGACGCACTGGCACCCACAGCGGCGGGAGGGGGGGCTGCGGAGGGGCCTTCAGGAGACTCGGCTGCCCAGCCTCCTCACCCACAGCCGGGCTGAGGCCGGAGGAAGCAGCAGCGCCCAAGGCCTGCCGTTTGCAGGCGGCCTGGCCGGGGCCTCCTGAGGGGCCGCACTTCCCTGTGGGTGCGGGCGGCCGTGGGCAGACCTGGGGCAGCTGTGGAGGCCGGTCTGCTCTGACAAGGCAGGCCTTGTGAGACGGGGCTCTGGCCAATTAAAAATGCAGCGCGCCTGGGGAAGCAAAGCGGAGGTGTGGCAAGTGCAGGTCACCCTAAAAACTACGCGCTCCGCACACTGGACCGCCGCTAGCGGGGCCTGCGCGTCTGCCCTGGGCCGGGGCCGAGCGCTCCCAGGGGTCCCACACGCCTCCCTGGAAGGGGGAGCTGCCAGGCCCGCTCAGGCCACCACTCAAACCCCAGGACCGTAGGCCTGCCCAATGCTTTCGACACTGAGGAGTTGGCCTCCGAGACACAAGGCCAAGCTGCTGAAACGTGACAATGGCAGGACGACGAGGTCATGAGAAGGCCGTGCTCACCAAGCGGGTGATCTGAGCCCCCCATGCCCTGGCCACCCCGCGGAACACCCTCAGGCTCACAGGACAGGCGTGAGCAGTGCACCCGACCACACGCAGTCCTGAAGGAGGCTGTCTCGGGTGCAGCCCACACGTTGGAGGAGCCCTAACAGCCCTTGCTTTCTCCTGCCGAGCCACCAGCCTCCAGCTGCCAGGACGGGTCCCGACCCTGAATCAGAAAGAGCTGAGGCCCCAGGCCAGACGGTGACTGCAGCTTACTTCGAACCCAACCCTCCCACCCGAGGACGCACGCGTTCAACGCATGGGTGTGACTTAGAGTGCGTCATTTCTGAGGAACTCCTCGTTTCACTAGGCGTCACCCACCCGGTCCCCACGCTGTGTCCGTGGCCAGCACCGGGCCAGGGTGCAGCTCGCACATGTGCACGTGGGCTCCAGGGGACTTTGGCACTGTCTCCACCCTCCACACGCATCCTCGGACCCGGCACATGCTCACTGAAATGAGTGTCAGTGGGAGCCAGCAGGTCCCAGCGCCTTCCCTCCCATTAGCGAAGCACTAGGTCTATTACTTGTTACCCCAAGTTCAGGTTCTGGTACGAGAGTCGATCAAGGAGAGGAGAAGCCGGCCCTCAGCATGGCACTCCCCAGAGCTGACGAACAGCAGGCGGAGACCAGGGATCCTCTGAGCTAGGACAGCCCCCTCCGGCCACCGCGAGGGCTGTGACGGGGGCTGGCGGGCTGGACAGTCAGGCTGACACCGTGGCTGAGGCCTGGCCAAGCCACACCGGCCCAGGCCACCGGGGAGCAGCCAGGCCACGAAGCCCATGGAGGGAGGGATGGGAGTTTTCAGTTGGCAAGTTCTAAACCCCAAGCAGCTGTCAGTGGACTGCGAACCTAAGTGAGGAGGTCTATCCCCGTAAGTGGCCGGACTACGGGCCAGGAACCAACCAGAAGGGCCCTCGGCCTCCTCCAGGCCCTGGCGAGGCAGGCTGCTCCCGCAAGGGCCCTCTCGGGAGGGGCAGCTCGGAGCACTGGGGGCGCATCCCCAGCAGAGGCGAGTGTGCACACGGCCACGGCCACGGCCACGTGCCGCTCACCCCCACAGAGCGAGGAGGGAGGCTCCCACGGCGACCCCGCTGGCAGTCCAGAGCAGCTGCCGGAACCCAAACCCACCTGCATCCCCAACAGGTGGACTGGCGACGCGACATTGAGGAGGGGACACAGGGATCTCGTTGGGACAGGGCTCGGGCGCCCCGGGTGGCAGGTCCAAAGGGCTGGAGCGGCGTGGCGGCGAGGGCGCAGGCGGCGGGAGTCTAGGACTCCTCACCCATCTGCAGCAGGGAGTTGACGGCCGCATCCTTGTTCCCTCGCTGGGCCTCCAGCACAGAGCGGATCACCTCACGGTCCATGTTGGGGAACATGTCCTGGATGGCCCTCAGGTCCTCCTCGTTACAGCGGGCGGGGGCGCTCACAGCCGCCGGGGGCAAGGCCACGGGCACCATGCCAGGGCTGCACACGGCGGGCATTCCTACAAGCACAAGACGGGGTTTAGGGAGGCGGGCGGTCAACAGTTCGAGGCGCT